CCGCGCCGCCGTTGCGTGAGGCGAAGGGGCGGGAGGCTGGCAGCAGGCTCCTGCTTTCCGGTTTATCCAGCCTCTCCTGCGAGCGGCGGCGCCCCCCAGGGAGGCCTTGCGAGCCTCGCTGTTTTAGTAACGCGGTTCTGCGCGTTCAAGCCCGGGTGATGACAGGGAAACTAGAGGTTTCAGCAGCGTGTCAGGAGAGAAATAGCGAGTCTGTTTCTGTTTTGCGAAATAGAGTAAGATCCCAGTTGTTTCAGCCCTTTTGGAAAGCTCGTGGTGTCACGGGACTGCTGGGGAGGCCTCTGCTATGAGTTACTGATCGTGGTGTGCGCAGCCCGGCTAAAACGGTGCAGCATGGACGTGGTGAAAGCCCAGTTTTGTTCTTTCTTGAAAGTAGCTGCTCCGGAAGGTTAGAGACGTTACTAGTGAGAAGAGCGCAGCGCCGCTGCTCCGAGCAGCAAGTTGGCAGTTTGTGCGACCCTGAACGGCCGTGCAAGGCGTGTTGGACGCGGGGGTTGGTCACGGGAGCTGCTGCTCCCTTAGACGTCCTCGTGCTGGACTCCCGTAGCACAGACTCGTTTTTTCCCGTTTCTCTGCTCTCCGAACTGTACAGGGAAAAGCCCCAGGTGAAAACACCTTGGGACAGCAAGCCTCGTGGCAGAGGCGTTGTGAGGGGGCCCCGCCTGTTCGTTGGGAGACACCAAACAGAAGTGCGCTCCAGCCCCTAGAGAAGGGCTTTACAGACGGTCCCGAGTGAGGGACCTCAAACTAGTTATCAGAAACATAGTGGCTTTCACAGAGGCTTGCTGACGGCAAAACAGGGCTGTCATCAAGGTATTGGCATTTCTTTGCTATTGTTTCCTATTTCTTAAGTGAGCAAGCAAGTTTAAAAACTTCCTTCCTACAGCGTGTCTTCTGCTCCGAGTTGCAGAGAGAGGGAAAACCCAGGGCACTAGAACTGGGCCTTTCCAGTGTATTTTGCTAATAAACTGACAGGCTGCAATCCCGTTCCAGTTCAGTGACCTGCCTGGGCTGCCAGCTAGTCAGTTTGCCTACGGTACTACAGTAGTGAGAGGCTCTGGTACGTAAGGACCTCACAACTGCTGCTATCCAGCCCAATTTGGTTCTAGAAGTAGATTAGACAAAGTGGTAGATCCATGTTCCTTTTGTGGTTTTCTTTTGTGCTTTCTTTTCTAGATGCCTGTGACTGTGGGCCCATATGGGCAATCGCAGCCCAACTGCTTTGACAGAATAAAAATGGGTTTCATGATGGGCTTTGCAGTAGGCATGGCAGCAGGAGCGCTGTTTGGCACGTTTTCCTGCCTCAGGTATGTCGCAGAAATGGCTTTCCTGGACAGGTAACGATACAGCCAGAGAGAAATATTCCCCGTTCAGTTTCAAACAGAGCCGAACGAATGATCTGGACCCACGGCAGTGCGTACACGGCCATGTCTTAGCTCTAAAGATTGTCTGAGGTATTCTGCAAGCTCTCAGTGATCTGTATCTTGCTTGATTTGCGTGTCCCGTTTCCCTGCACCCCCTGCATGGACGTAGTTATCTTATTGACCTGGAGTCTTGAATGCAGGAGCCCAGTCTGAATTGGTGGCTGTCAGTGGCACAGTCCTATCGTAAACTGGGGAGAGGTAATAGCCCGAGTGCCCCTTATGCTATCCAGCATGCCAACACAGAAACAAAGAATGGTCTCTGCTCGGCCGAGTTACCTCTTGTGCTACTTTCTGGCTGGCTTTGGTACACATCATCCATTAAAAAGAGTTACTAAAGTAAACTCTAATATTTTGCACAACTCCTTGTGCTTGAGATTTTTTAACCTGTGATTAAAAATGGGTGATAATTTTGTAGTGCCCCTGAAAAGGAGGAAAAGGCACAAAATCTAATCTTAACATTTAAATTTAAAAATGTTCTGATCCCTCTCAGATCCTGCAGCATGTTTGTAAACGGTACTGTGCTAGTAGCAAATATATTTTGTATGGTATAAAGAAGCAGTGACAGTGGGTCTGTAATACTTGAAAAATGGAACGCAGCTACGTTACTTCTGTTGTGCCATTGTTCTGGAAAAATCTTTGTTTTGAAAAGCCGTACACAGAATTCCTTAGACACTACACTCCCTGCCGTGCTTAAAAGCCAAGTATTTCAAGAACTTTCTAAGAAACAGTTCACTTTTTTGGTCCAACCTTAAATAAATGTGAACAGGAGAACAAAAGCGCATCTGAAGACTTCTAGGCCTTTTAAATTTCTCTCATATTAAAAATACAGTGTCAGTGGTACATGGGAAATTAGTTGACAACGTGGTTTCCAAGTTGATGGTATTAAAACTACTGCCTATATAGCCAGACAGGACTAAGATTCAACAGTTCAGATCCTTTTTATTCCCTGGCAGGTCAAATATGCAGCCAGAACTAAGCTTTGTTTCCCCAAAATAAGGATGCGTGGGGCACTAGCAGTTAAAGCCTTTCCCGCTCCTCTTTTTCCCATTTTCTTTTCCTCTTTCTGCAGCATGCTACCAGTTGTCAGCACATCCATTTGTGGAGTCAGGGAATGGAAGTGCTTGGACAAGCTGAGGGGGAAACATTGTTACGTTTGTCTTGAGCGGGTCCCTCATGCACAGCCCCGCAGATCCCTATGCTGACACAAGGAAACGGCAGGGCAGGAGGGTACAGGGTCAGCTAGTACAGCCACAGAAGAAAATACACGTGGACCACTGGAGTGAGTCACTGAAGTGTCTCAAAGAAAACAGCTCTGCTTTTCTTTGCAGTAGGTCAGACACAGTGCAGCGCAGCCAGTCTTTGTGAAACTTGAAGATACCACTTTAAATTACCAATTTAAATTTAAACATTGATTTTTGGCCACTTGTGATAATCAGCTGGTTGTGTCAAACGTTTTCACCTCTGTGTGTGTCCGTCACCTGTCAGGGCTTCAACTTCTGTACAATTTTTACATTTTCTTTTCTCTCAGGATTGGCATGAGAGGACGAGAACTGATGGGTGGAGTTGGCAAAACAATGATGCAAAGCGGTGGGACGTTTGGGACGTTCATGGCTATTGGTATGGGAATCCGCTGCTAACTTGGAGCTTGGGTTTTTTAACCTGAAGAGTCCTTGTCCAGCCGTTCTTCCTCTGTACTATAATAAAATCTTTAGATACCTGGAATTTTGAGTGCTCCTCATGTGAAATTGTGAAGCATTATCCTACTTGCTTTGTTGATTGTAAGCTTGCTTTTTACCAAATGTTTTCCTCACTTCCCTTACTCCCATAAAAGTGAGACCTCCTAATAACCCTTTGTACTGTGTTACAGTTCATATTTCATAGGCTAAGAATAGTAAATGCTTTTTCCCTTTGCTACTTGGGCAGCTCACCTTTCTGATGTGTGGTTGTAAATACCCCAGCTCTAGGGTGACTTTCCCTTACTGAAAGTACAGGAAAACCAACTCCCTATTGGGGATGTTAGGCAAGTCCTTTAACTTGCTGAGGGCAAACTACTGCTTTTGGGACTTCTTCCTCTGACAGGCTGGAATCACATGCCCCCAGCTGAGTAGGAAAGAACACAGAACAGTTGCAAATGCAGTCATAAGATTTGGAAATCATTAAATTGGTGGTAAGAGAAAATAGTTCCTGTTGCATGACAGCTGAAAGTGTTTGGTATTTTGGGAGAAGTCACAAAGATGACTCAGCATTGTAAACAGAGGAGATTTAACTTCATTATCAGACTGTGAGAAACATTTGCTATGCCTCCCATCAATACTAGCATAGTCTGTGCTGTGGGGAATCAGCTCTTCTGTAAGTTAGTATCTTAATGTAATAGTAAGGAGAAGAGCGCAGCTGGAATATACTGCCTTTCGCAGTTCTGCCACACAGAAGGCCCGTACAGTTCTGTAGGGTGCAGCAAGATATGCTCCAACCTACAGCCCTTCCACAGAAGGAGAAAGGAAGTATAGAGCAGTGCCAGTTGCTACTGCTGTCAGTAAGGGGAACTCAAAGCTGTTTTTTCCATTTGCTTTACCAAGGAAGGGGGCATCATCTATGAAAGCAAGCAGTGCTATCAAACAACCTGTATGCTGCAGGCATGGTCTTTTTCTCCAACCTTCCTTCATGGATTTTATAAACTGGTCAAAACCTCACAGAGAAAACATGTTGTATTGCTACTTACCATCCACTAGCAGCTATAGCAATGCCTCTAGCAAACACTATGCTACGTTCAGTGCTGCAGTCTCCTGTTACTTGCCTTCTGAAACAAACCTCATCTTTGCTTCCATCATGTTGCAGTGGTCTGTGTTTCTGTTTAAAAGCAGCACAGGTTAGCCTGTGCTAGTCAGAAGTATTAACTGAAGAAACTGAACCAGCACCTATACAGCCTTTACATGTTACAAGTACTGTTTACCCACTTTTAAAGAAGAAATATAAATCTGCCACTAAAAGACTTTTTGCATGCTGTCATGTGGTTAAGTAATCCCTACGAGGAAAATTCTGTGTAGCACAGCTAGCCCTCCTGGGACAGCTGAAGCTTTACTCCAACTAGCCCTGCTGGATTATTACTGGCAACTAAAAACATGGTCAAGCAAAACCAAAAAACCCCACAAGTTTTCCAATAAGCCACCAAAACTTGGCTTTCTTCAGGTTTGTATCATGCACTCCTGAGACATGCTCCCAGATTTTATGCTTGGCTCCTCCAGACATCTACGCTTTCCATCTACACCAGTTTGTCTTCCCCACTACCATTTCCTCCCATGTTACCAGTGCTCCTTTCTGTGTTTCTGAAGACTACACTTCACCCTCCTGCAGCTCAGCCAAAGCTGCATGCGCCCTGAATGGCATCCTCTTAAGTGGCTGAAGAGGACAAGTCACTGCCATGCTTTCCTCTAGAAGCACTGGCAGTGCTCGCTGTCTGACCAATTTTCCACAGAACTGGGTGGAACATTTACACTGTTACCAAACATGGCTTTTATTAGCCAATGGTTCAAAAATTACTGAGGAGTGGAAAAGGGGTACTAAAGAGGGCAATCCCCTTGGCCAGGGTACCTTAAAGAAACCAGACTAAGACATTTCTACAACCCCATGATTCACAGACATTTGAGGAGGAGGATGTTTTTTGTTTTTCTCCACAACAACCACCACCACCAACCACATACAGCAATTAAAATCTGTGGGCTGAGTCTGCAGCAGGCATGAGAAGGTGCAAGAGCTCTCCACTGCCAAGCCTGTGAGAAAACCTACAGGCCCTCCACAGTCACAACTGCAGGACAGTCCAGGTTCAAAGACAGCAGGAACCACCACCCTCATTTTCTTCTGGAGATAAGGAGTGGTATTCTGAACAGCCATCTTATCAACCATTTCAAAGTGACTATCACCATTCTTACCAGAATGGTAAGTCTACCGGTCTTCAATGTACAGTGCTTGAATCACACAAGGGGAGAAGAGAAATAAAGCTTCTCAAAGGCCTTTTTAAGAGAATTTTATTTGAGTGGTTCTTACAAAGATTGTTGCAATATGAAAGTCTTTGTTTGATAGAAATATCAAGCTGTCTTGTCAAACACACTGAAGTAACCCAAAAATATATTTCAGAGCTCACAGAGCTTAAAAAGAGCAAAGATTATATGCAACCAGAACAAAACATGTTTCTGTATTTCCTGCTCATTTTCAGACTTGGCCGAAACCCTTCAGCTGTGCCACGCTGCATACATAGAAACTTATGTGGAAATGCAGAGAGAGTTTTGTTTGGAAACTTAGACACACCTCACACAGTATTTACAAAGAAACTTTTACAGATACATTAATCAAAAGTTACCATCAAGAAATAAAACCCTTCAATCCTTCTATTCTTACCGATTATTCAGCACAAAGCAAGCTGAGTGGCTGACCAGAATCAGCTTTCAGTAGCCTTTTGAATTTTCCATTTATACAAAACACTAAATATGTCCCTTCATAAAGTCTATCTCCAATATTAACCTTTAGCAGATCACCTACATTTAGTGAAATGTAAAATGTAATTGCTGCATTAAAAGAAAGGCTTGTGAAACATTAAAAATGTCATTATGTCCCATCTGCCTTTTACAGATAATTTGTTTTCTATGAGCTACTTCTCATTTCCTACAGATCACCTTAGTAAATGTACAAGAATTACAAGGCAGAACAAGAAGTCAACAGCTTTGTATACAGTGGAAATGCTAGTCAGGGAGAATGAACACACTGCATTTCTGCTTACTTCATTTTATTTTTAAAGGTAGCAGGAAGTGTACACAAAAATGACATTAAATCCTTTCCTTTAGTTTTATCTAAATAAAAGATAACTCAATCTTCCTCCAAAAAATAACTATGTACAAAACTGACTAAATCCATCTTCATCGTCGAACAGGAACCAGTAGTTGGGTTGCCGTCATAGAATCTGGGAAAAGGCTATGGTATGTGGGAAGAGGTACATATGCTGCTGTGATCATTTTACCTAATTCAAAGATCAAAAGAAATAATCAGTATTTGTTCAATTATGTAATTAATAATAAATAAATGCAGGTCTCCACGTGAAACACACTCACCTGCAAACCACCTCCCATGCAATGCATTTACAGCTGCAATGGCAGCAGCAATCGAAGGACATTTGACATACACATTGCCCTGTAATACAGAAATGTCATAGTCCATTAGAAGTCTGATGATTTCTACCTATTCCTTAGTGAGCATGAGAAAAACCTTTTCAAAGGGGCTAAGCCCTCCCATTTCCCCCGGAGAGATGGAAAGGATGTTCAAGTGAGGCAGCTACTGCAGTTTCTCCTACATGAACTTTAGCATCTATTTTTACCGAAATAAAGGCCGAGATGAAGGAAAAGGGAATAACGACAGCAAGGCAAGAACAACCTTAGATACATCATGTGAATGACAGTCTAATCTTTTACCCTCGGCTAAAGATGCCTGAAGTTTTCTACCTGCAAACTAAGCACTAGTCCAATCTAATCTGAAGAACTGCAATACTCATATTCAACAACTGCAGAACATATACAGTGGTCACAGGGAATACACAGGGATGTATACACATTTTTGTGGCAAACTGCATACAACCAATAATGCCTGAACTAGATAAAGACTCAGGCTGAAGCAGAGATTATTTTACAGGGAAAAGAAAATATTAAGAAACAGAAGCATACTTCTTAGCAGTTTCTTCCAGCTGGTATTAATTTTTCCCACTGTGATCTTATCATTTCTTTTTGGGGGGAAAACCTGAGATTAAGAGCTCCAGCAGACCTCAGCAAGGCAGCAGAAATTTAAGGCACTAAGTAATTAACATGCAAAGTTCTGCTCTTAGTCTCCCCTGCATGGCATCTAATTTGCTTAAACCTTTAAAAGAGGCACAGCAACTAAAGCCTTAGTTATCCTTAAAACACCACACTGTAAATAGTTATGGTACAAGAGATGATCCATCATTCAGACTATGCAGTGTCAGGGCTGCAATCTTTTCACACACACCAAACTAAGCCTTCACTACAGATTACTGAGAGCACTTAGCCTGCTAAGTCTGGCTGTCTGGAAAAGAGCCCCAAAACATGGGAGATGAAATAGATGAACTGAAAAAATACAATGACTAGAATCTCAGCCTGGAAAACAAAGGACAGCACAGTGAAAATTTATGTTAAAAAATATATATGAGATGTATTTTAAAAAAAAAAACAGTAGGCATTTTATATCTGGGCCATCCCGGCATTACCATGACAAGATGGATTTCACTTAATAGATGGCAGGCTCATTCATTATGATGGCTGCAATTTTTTCTTTTAAGTTCATTTGCTAAAATGAACCAGATTTACCGTGTAAGATCTGAGCACATGGAACTGAATGTTGACGGCTGCTTTTTTTGTTTGGCTTTTTCTTTGTTTTAAAAACTGTCAACAGATACCAACTCCTTGTTTTTTCTTCTTAAGTTCGGAATAGGCCAATATATTATGGGAAAGTTTCTATCTATCATTCTAATGGTCCAACGTAACAGTGATCTTGAGGTACTAACAGAATTCCTCTGAAAAACATTAAGGTATGTTTTATACCGAAAAGAATAGAATGGGATACAAAATAACAAACCCTCCCTGCACCTACCTTCTCTCCTCCCTGCCCAAAACCACAGCCACATGGGACGACCTATTTACTTTCATTATGCCAACGACTTTAAGTCTGCAGGAAAATAAAAAAATCTGAAACAAGAAAGTGTTGTTTTTGCTAAGTGCTTGTCAGAAGGGCTGAGAGTCCCTACGATCCTGAAACGAAACTCAGCACACACCTTTCAGGGAATGTAATCTGTGATTTTAGGTCAGGAATCCAGGTTAGCACTAACCAATCACACACTCACTGTCAAAGAAGGATTTCAAGCAGGAATCCATTCTGTTCCGATTGTGACAATACAAACATCAGATTTAACACTTAAGCCTAATGTCATAAACCAGTTTCTAAAATTCTGATGGACTACTCACTTCTTCCATCATTTGTCCAGCAAGTGGGTCATTATTGAACTAAGTCTATTTCAGTATTAAACACAGCAGGTAGCACAGCTTTCTGCTTCAGTTTTCTTTTGCATGTGACCTCGTAGTCCCAATCAATTCTGCCATCTTGGCATCCCTTTCAGGCAAAGGGGATTTTCACACACTACCTAGTCTGCATCCTTATTTACTGTAGACCCAATTAAGGGGAATGCTTCAGGATGCATCTGTCTATCCAGGGGACCCATCAATAGATGGGAATACTGTCACATTAGAAAACGCTAGGAAAGATCATAAGTTAAGTACTGGAATGCAGATCACCTAATTTAAAAATCTCAGCAATCCATGCAAAAGGATCTCAGGCAACAGACTCTTCTGCAAAAGCAGCACAACGAAAACCCAGTTCCATGACAGTCAGGTGCGCTAGCAGGGGAGAACAATCCCATTTTCTCCCTAAACAATACTGATAAAGACAGTAAGGTATGTTTCAACCTCTCACTGCGGAACAGAACAGGACACTTCAAGGTTCTGGTGGTTACAACCACAACTGTGAAGGTTAAAGCAATTGACTCTTGTACTTCAGTTTGGGCTAAGAACTCTATGTAAAAGGGGTTCAAGAAGGTCAACCTCTTTATGGACCTTCAGTAACATGTATTCTAAGAGCTGCATTACAAGCAAAGAGGTGACCAGTCTGGAGATCGCGTAAACAAAGTGAACATAGAAAAAAAAAAAATGAATTAGCCTTTTCAAGATACAGGCATTTGAGAGTCCTTCACTCAAAAAGTATTATCACCAGCATTAGTAATACTTTGTAATTGAGTCTGTATCAATAGCACCCCCCCCCCCCCCCCCTGTATTTTTTCCTCCTCGTTATAATTCCAGGCATTCCAACTGCCCACTGCAAGACAGAGGACTTGCCTATAACATTACCAGTGGAGATAACTGTTTCTGAGAACGGGATTAGGCACGGCACTTTGTGGATGTTAAGTCTGCCGGAGCACTGTGTCCTTTGTGCTAAAATCTGTTTTGTGTGAAAACTAAGGAAACTAGAAGTCTCTGGCTTGTGGGAACCAAGGGGGAAAAGTCAAGTCCAGAAGTAAAGAAATTCCTGTTCTCTAACCTGTATTTCCACAGTAACTCTAGCTATATAAATCTGTAAGAACATACTGCAGCACCAAAGAACTGCTCACACCTACAGATGAGTTGGTGTACAATGACTCAAAACAGGAGCAGATCATCTTCGTTCTGTAAAAACTGCAGAGTAACTTCAAGAAGTCTAAATTCACTCCAGAAAAAAATTATTATTTGTAATGATCCTTCTATACAGTACAAGCCAGAAAACCTCCTAGAAAATGCCCTATATCTCCTTGGAGCTACGCATACCTGAGCTGAATTTTTGTCTACATAAATGTGGATAACTCCTCCATGTTTGTTACATTCCTCAATCACATCATCTTTAATTTCTGTATCCCAGCCAGCTTCTTCTTCACTGTAGTGGGGGAAAAAAAAGGGGGAAGAACAGGATAGAGGTAAAAATATGAATAATCAGAACAAAACCCACCCCAAAACCCATAAAAAAACCCAACAACATTCTAATTAGTTGCTCCCCTGTTAAAGTCATTGGCAAATGCCAAACAAACAGACAATGATAATCACTTACGTTTGAGGATTAAACATATTGGAAAGCTGGAAGCACTGTGTTGCAAGTGGTTGTACAGAAGCAGCTGCGGCCAGAACTGTTTAAGAGACGAAAAACAATGACAAACTTAGGAATCCTCTATATGCAGTTCTATTTAGATGAGGATCTTTCTATTTGCTCTTTAAAATCCTAACACTCATCAGTAATAGAAGAGTCCTAACTAGACAGAAAATCAAAGGCGGGAAAGCAAAATTCCTAACCAGACACAATCTATGACAGAAACTTCTTTTAGTAGGACATATAGTCCTGCATGGAAGTCACATGCAGTGCAGGACAGTGAGATCACCCCATCTGACTTTACAGGAATAGTGATAGGCATTTTTGAGAACTCTCAAAATGTATTTTGAGCATTTGTTTGTCCTTCAAATAAATATGTGCACTTCTAAGGAAAAATACTTCCTACATATAAGCAGTGTATTTCTGACAATTAGAGAGATAAACATTTTAACTCTAAAACAGATCTATACTTTTTGCTAACAATTTTGAAATATTAGCCACGATCTATTGTTACTAATCATCGCAGTGCATCTTATTCAAGTTGAGCACCGTCCTGCAGACTGCCCTTTCAATAAGATGTTAACTTTTGTCAGTCTTAGTTGAACTAATGGCCTCCTCTCTACATACTTAAGACACTAGGGGTTGCCTAGACAGAGTAAGATCATGCCTAACCCAAGGACAGAATCCCAAACTCTTGATTCTCAAGTGATCTCTCTAGTCTTTACCTCTTAAACAAAAAACAAAAAACAAAAAAAAAAAAAAAGAACCCCACAAAACACACACACATTATCTAGGTAACATTCCCAGGCCACATCTTAATCCAACATTTAGGAAAAGCTACAAACAAAAAGGTAAAGTGTTTCACACACATTCAGTTATTTTCAATCAATAATCAACACAAAGTACAATTCCTACAGAGACCAACAGGATATCATTTCTCAGGCTTTGGACAAATTCTACACCAGCAGTATTTCACTTCTAGACAAGGACTGCAACAAAATCTTATACATCATCTACTGGCGACAAGCTCTGTCAAATCCTAGCTTACCTTCATTCTGCTGAGAAAGTCTTGTTTGCAAATCTAAAGAAAAATATACCAGAAGTAAATTAGTATGCTTGCCAGTATTACTGTATGTTTACCTGCCATCCAGATTTTTAGCTTGTGCTTTTGTGGCATGAGCTTGTCCAGGTACCTTAACCCGCTCCCATTGTTCCTCTCTAGAGGTAGAAAGTTTCGCTATTTTCATGGGATCACCTCAAGCGTTCTGCACTCGAGGGATATTCTATAACCACAAAGGTAAGCACATTTCAAAGAGAAACAATATTTTAAAAGGAAAGGGAGATACGATAATCTCCTTTAGTTTTAGTTGAACCTATGTCTGCGTATTTGTATTTTGAGAGGTGTTTTGCTCCATAAGACGACAGATACAGCAATTCTTACCAAACTTTTAAGTTTAATGCCTGTAACAAAAAGTAGAGTTGTCCAGATTAACAGTTCTGCAATACAGGCTTTCAAGTTTCATTTTAACAGAACAAGCTAATATTTCAGTTATCTTTGCAAAAACATGCTGCAATGACAAATTACTTCGTGTTGAAGTTTAGAATATTTTCAAGTGCTCCTAACATTCAATTTGCCAAATAAAAACTAATTATTGTCTAATAACGTGTAGCTGTCCCAATTTATAGAACTGGGAACAGACAAATGCAGACTTGCCAACCATTATCAAGGATATGACTAAAACCCTACACTTAGCATTTTTAAATCAGCAACAGAAAATTTCAGGCTGCAAATAATGTAAACATAAACCTCTTCCTTCATGTCCAAATTTTTTAATTCACACAAACACAAGGAGTTGGTAGATTAAAATTAACTATCATCTTATGCACTATTTACTAATTTAGAAAGCAACAAGGCGTTGGGCTCTTTGAAAAAAGCTTACTTGGAAATACCTGAAGATCAGTCAAATTACACCCTTTTTTTTCCCCCTTTTTACAGGCCCTCCCCCAAAACACTGAAAGACCAGCAAGAATTAAGTTTTTTTGCTCTAAGTATTAAAAAGTGACAGCCCTGAAGACAAGTCTTGCTCAAGTACCTTCCAAATGACTTCCATAGAACAACACATACCATGAAAAATAAGAGATGTAAGGAGCAAGCTCTGAAGGCTGAGCTGTAACAAGAATTGCCTGAATTTAGTGAGTTTCTCACCTGGCTCTGAACAGGGAGGAATCCTCAACTCCACAGAGTGAGAAATCCCATGATGGGGAGGACTGTCCTAGGCTGTGTTCTCTCCAGAAACCCATGGGATCCACATGGATTTGGGTGAATCTATAACTAATTACTAAATTAGTTACTACCCAATTTTTTTAAAAATTTTTTTTAAACAAAAGAACGTTCTTTTTAAAAAAAAAAAAAAAGTCAAACATCGCACCTCCTAAATTACTCTACTTAAATGAGGATTAAAACTCCCCCCTCTGCAATTCTGACACAATTGCACATTTACATCATTTACAGCTAAACCCACCAAATGACAGCCATCCTTTGGCTGTACAGCTCAATCCTCCTGGCCACCTGCACCCAAACATAGCAAATCTACGTAGGCTACCAGCTAATCAATGTTGGCCCAGAGCTCAGAGTCAAGTCTGTTCCAAACAAGAGAAGATCAATTACAGTATCTTGTGGCAGCAAGTTTCAAAGGTTAATTACTTACTACCTGTGAAACATATCTCATCCAATTTCTTCACAAATTAATTGAATTTTCCCCTTGCTCATGACTGGAGCTCATCCAATTGGATTGCTCTCTCATCTTATTTTTA